CTAGCTAGCTAGGTATTTGAGGCATCGGCTCTAGCTCTCCCACTAGCTTGGCCTTGACTATGCCGCTGCTGCTGCTGCTGCTGTTGCTGCTGCTGCTGCTGCTGCTGGCCTTCAGGATAAGAAGGTGTGCGGCATATACCACAGCAACATGCGGCGGGCTCGCGAGACAGCGGAAGTGATAGCAGCAAAACTTGCTGCTGCTGCTGCTGCTGCAGAGCGCCCAGGTGTACCTACAGTTCAAGACCCGCTGCTCGCAGAAGGAGTCCCAGCAATGCCGCTGCCTCCCTCCACTGTCTTCAAGCCTACGCAGGAAACTGTTGACAAGTGCTGCTGCGGCTGCTGCTGCTGCTGCTGCTCTTGCTGCTGCTGCTGAGGATGCTGCTGGTGATTGGTTGGGGTGCCGCTGCCTCCCTCCACTGTCTTCAAGCCTCCGCAGGAAACTGTTGACAAGTGCTGCTGCTGCTGCTGCTGCTGCTGCTGAGAGCAGACGCGCTACCCTGCGTGACGCTGTTGCTGCTGCTGCTGCTGCTGCTGCACAGAGACAGCAAGCGAATAGAGGAAGCGTTTCGAAGGTATTTCTACAGAGCGTCGGGGCCTGACCAGCAGCAGCAGCAGCAGCAGCTCCTGCTGCAGCAGCAGCAGCAACAACAAGAAGCAGCCGCAGCAAACAGTAAAGCCTCCACAAGCGGCAGCAACAGCAGCAGCAGCACAAGCAGCAGCAAGCCGCCGACTGAAGAGTACAGCATCATTGTGTGCCACGGCAACGTGATCCGATACTTCTTTTGCAGGTAACAATTATTTAATTAATTCAATTAAATCAATTAAATTGAATTATTTAAATTAGATTAATTAAATCAAATTAAAGGAATTAAATCAATTTACTCACTTTAATTTAATCAATTCCACCGAATTTCATTTACGATGCATCCGTCGTGCACTGCTATCATTCAAAATAACTAATTTATTATTATTTATCATTTCCTCATTAGTTTAGCCTCATCTATTTATTAATTGTTGTTTACTTGTTTGATATTTATTTATTTATTTATTTATCTATTATAAATTATTTATTTATTTATGATTTGCTTCTCAGGGCGCTGCAGCTGCCGCGCTGCGCGTGGCTGCGCCTTGCTGCAGCAAACTGCAGCATCTCGTGGCTGTCGGTGGACAGCAGAGGTTTTGTGTCTGCGAAGCAATTCGCAGACTCCGGACACTTGAGCCCCCACCTGCTCACTTACAGATAGCTCCTGCTGCTGCTGCTGCTGCTGCTGCTGCTGCTGCTGCTGCAGCATCTCGTGGCTGTCGGTGGACAGCAGAGGTTTTGTGTCTGCGGAGCAATTCGCAGACTCCGGACACTTGAGCCCCCACCTGCTCACTTACAGATAGCTCCTGCTGCTGCTGCTGCTGCTGCTGCTGCTGCTGCTGCAGCATCTCGTGGCTGTCGGTGGACAGCAGAGGTTTTGTGTCTGCGAAGCAATTCGCAGACTCCGGACACTTGAGCCCCCACCTGCTCACTTACAGATAGCTCCTGCTGCTGCTGCTGCTGCTGCTGCTGCTGCTGCTGCTGCTGCTGCTGCTGCTGCTGCTGCAGCATCTCGTGGCTGTCGGTGGACAGCAGAGGTTTTGTGTCTGCGGAGCAATTCGCAGACTCCGGACACTTGAGCCCCCACCTGCTCACTTACAGATAGCTCCTGCTGCTGCTGCTGCTGCTGCTGCTGCTGCTGCTGCAGCATCTCGTGGCTGTCGGTGGACAGCAGAGGTTTTGTGTCTGCGAAGCAATTCGCAGACTCCAGACACTTGAGCCCCCACCTGCTCACTTACAGATAGCTCCTGCTGCTGCTGCTGCTGCTGCTGCTGCAGCCATCTCGTGGCTGTCGGTGGACAGCAGAGGTTTTGTGTCTGCGAAGCAATTCGCAGACTCCGGACACTACACTTGAGCCCCCACCTGCTCACTTACAGATAGCTCCTGCTGCTGCTGCTGCTGCTGCTGCTGCTGCTGCTGCAGCATCTCGTGGCTGTCGGTGGACAGCAGAGGTTTTGTGTCTGCGAAGCAATTCGCAGACTCCGGACACTTGAGCCCTCATATGCTCACTTACAGATAGCTCCTGCTGCTGCTGCTGCTGCTGCTGCTGCAGCATCTCGTGGCTGTCGGTGGACAGCAGAGGTTCTGTGTCTTTGAAGCAGTCTTAGATGCAAACGAGTTGCTTGCAGTTCAGCATAGCCACTCCCAAGCCAACGTTGTTTGCAGAAGCCCACCTGACAGTCCAGGGATCTATTCCGCAACTGCTTTATTTTCGATAAGAGATTATGTACTTTATGTTGCCGCCTGCGCAACGAATGCAACGCGCAAAGTGAACAAGTGCGCATGCGCAGTTCAGAGGCAGCCACTGTGTGCTGGTTGGCGTGTGTGTGCTGTGGAGTTTGATTCATCCGCGGGACTCCGTCTTTGCTAGCTTGAAGTGGTGCAGAAGAAATAGACTTTCAGAAGAAGTAGATCTTATAAACACTGTAAAAACGAATATCATACGCGTCCACGGATTCCAGTTCTTTGCATTTGGGCGATTGCTGCCTTGTTTGGTTGCTGTCTTGTGTACGGCTCGGCTAATTCTTCTACCCGTAACTGTACCTCTTTGATACTGAAGGTGCGTTTGCCCGTGAGCTCATCATGGGGAAGTCCCAGCCAAGCCTTTGCATGTTCAAGATCTATTAAGCAGTTGTTGTTTGGGACAAACGACGACCACATACGACAGTCTTATTTTGCACTACAGACGCACGAGAGCCGAGCATAGCTCATCGTACGTAGTAATAATGCAACTTGAAGCTTTCGCACAACTAAGACAACGCACAATTTGTGCATCTGTTTCTTGATGCTCGAGCAACTGTGACTTTTGAAGAGTCGTTCGGACGAAGATGTATCTGCTCACTCGCCACACTACTGAAGTTGACTGCTAGTGCTTCTGCGCTCATGTTTCAGAGTCAGCAACACCCGTGCTTCCAAGTAGGCATTCAACATGTTTATTTTGCCGTTCTCGCACCTAGTGGTGAAGACCCAAATGCAAAAGTCCAACATGGGCAGTCCAGAAGCTAAGTTGTATTGCGATACTGCTTTTAGGACGCCGAGAGACTTTTAAGCAGGCGCCAAGGAGCTACTTCAATATATCACAAAGAGTTTTAAATAATCCTTTTCAGCAAATGATGCACTCCCTAGCGTTTCTATATCTGGGCTCAGGGCGGCAATGAATGCCCAAGAAGACACAGGATCACACCGAAAAGCTCATGGAAACGAAACGGTCTCCAATTAAATACTTGACAATGCGCGAGACAGTGCATGGAAACTACAACCTGGGGCATATCGTGCACACGTGGATTGCAACCGTTCACAATAACACAAAAACCAGCATCGCAGAAAAGGTTGCATGCCCGCTACGCAGCCTAAACTGCACATTCAGAAAACCTCACTGACAAACTGGATGGTTTAACCATTTCTTTTGCATGAATGTAGTCAATCAAAAAATGAAACTTATTGTGCCACTTCAGGTTCCCAGCGATGGCTGGTTGGCCTGGTAGCACGCTTTGTGCAGTAGGGTTCCAATATAGTTGTGAGCCTCGCAGCGCATCCCACATACGCCCTGCAGCTTCCACATGCCGAGATAATGGTGCGCGGCACATGCTAAAGGAAGCGGGTCCTTAAGTGCAACAGCATTTACGTGAAGTGGCTGCAACAGTAGCTCGCCACTTCTCGTGCTTTGCAAGTACAAAAGCAAGCTCTTCTGTGAAAAGCTCTGCATTGAGACGCTCTGTAACAAGCTCAAGATTCACAAAGACAATTTGCATCAAAGCCTACGAGTATTGGAGTTGACGCCGGAGCAAAAGCACTTCGACCCACGCCGCCTCATATGCATATTAGAAACGGATCTTCCCATTCCCGCACAAGAGCTAAACGTTCACTGCATATATTTCCAAGCGATTCTGTCGCAGTATGATCTGCAAACACAAGTCGTCTGGAGACGACAACACCTTTCACTGAAACGGACAGTGAGAGCGACTGTGCACGAGAACTCAATATCAATTCTGTTTGCACCTCAGATGCAATTCGGGTGGACCTTGCATATCTTCACAAAGAAATATTTCAGAGCTTTGCAAAAGCGACGCGCATCCTCCCATAGCATCTTCAACTCCAAAATCTTCTGATGTTGGAACGCACAAAACGTCACACTGTCCCGGGCTGCGAATGATTGTGCTTTGGCACTAGCCAAACAGCCGCGCTGTGTACTTTAAACTCTTTTACGGCGTCCACAGTGGCGGAAAATCCTTTCCAGATAGAAGCACGAATACTCCAACGGCGAGGAAGTACCACGAGAGCTGTGCCAGGTGCACTGGAAAGTGAAAAGCCACTGTTTGTTCGAAAATCCTCTATACCATTTTTCTTGATTAGATGTTTCCCACAGGCTCCTATTACTGCGTCGACTTCCAACAGTCTGCATTAATGAAACTGTTCACACTGCCTGTTGCTGAATCCACCACCATTTCCTATTCTGCTCATCTTTAGAGTTAAATCTCTGTACAATGCGCGAAAGTATGCTTAATAGATACTCAACTAACTAACAACTGATATGATACGGAAAGTCGTAAAAGTGTCATGACTGTTTAGCCTGTTGAGCCCTCTTAGGCGCCTCCAGGCAAAACAAAGAGGGATCGATCACACAAAAGCCTAAGGGTTCTCCATTCGCTAAACTGAGACTGAAATCGAGCCTAATGAGCACTTTATAATTTATAATAAGTCATCGAGCCCTGTACACACCGCAATGAATTGGATAATTATTCTTTATATATTTGTTTCATTTTTAATAAAATTTTTTGGTTAAATTAATATATTAAACAAAATAATACACCTCCTTGTTTTAATTTAATTGTTCGCTGTGCTCTGGGAGCAGAAGCGGAAGGGGAGATTGCAAAGATATAAGCCAAGAAAGTGCCTACTTGCCTATATTCCACTTCACCTTACGTGTGAATATGAACATTCTCACAGCCGATCTTAAGCCCAGTGTTGTGGCAACAGCTTTGATCGAGCATCCAACGCACGAACTAAGAACGCAGCTCACTGCAATATAAGCTGCGTGTGGATCGGAACTTCCTAGTTACACACAAAGTAGTGATGAACTCTTTTGTCAAAAAACGTCCCAGAGTCACTACTCCAGAATATCAGTTTCTCCGTGCTGAGAGGAGTATGTAACACCCCTTTGCGTGTGCAGACGCATTTCAATCGCGTCGAGAAAGCGCTTTTTATATGTTGCAGGCTGGTACACTTTAGGCTTTTGCATCTTGCGAGCTGAGACGGCAGGCACATTTATGCATTTAAGTGACCTTCATCCGCGTGCTTTTGGCAATAAATTCCCCTGTAAGCTTGCCGATTCGCAAGTTGAGGTGTTGTGCAGACTAATAGGGAGGCTGGATAAAGACAGGAAGACAAGACAGTTAGTTTTGACTGCTTGCAATGCGCGAGACTAAGCCTACTTTACCGGACTGCCAAGCTTTGTCTTGTTTTTCCAGGGAAGGCTTTTTGCAATGATCGCATAGCACGTGCACAGTGTTGCAGCACAGCATCGAAACATCTCAGTGGAATGTGAAGCAGCAGCGGGAGCCGGGCATGCACACTCCTGGCGTCTCTGGATTCAGCCTTTCGCGGAGAAAATAGTATTGTGTAACAGAGGAGCAACAAGCGCTTCCAGTGATCTATAAGGCATGTGTCCTGCTAAGCACACTGCGCCGTTGTCACCACGGTTATTCGTGTTGTTTGCATGCGCCGAGGTCGTGCAAGGGGTGCCATTGGAAATGCAAAAGAATAAACTAAAAGCCAAGGCACGAGAAACAACTCAAAGGAACTGCAAAGTGCTTTACAAAAAATAACGAATAGCCTAGTTGTGCGTGCATAGATATCTTTTATACGCAGTCTTAGGGAGCAGGCAAAGGTCACCCTGCGCTGACGTTTATCTGCAAACAAAAGCGTATGAACTGAACGCGCCAAAACATGTGAGACGTGTGCCCATAGCAGATGTATTGGTAATGCGCAAAACTTTGGAATTAGAAACTGGATATTGCAGCCAGCAATGCTCCGCGTCCAGTATAAAAGCCATTTACAGCGAAGTGCAACAAGTCAGTAGGCCATAGGGAAGGACTGAAAAGCACAATAAAGCACTCAGGTTGCTTTTTCCACATGCACGCTTTCGCTGTTTATCTTTTCCTGCGGTCTTCGTGACGCATTTCCTGAAATCCCAGTTCAGTCCTCTAGTCGGTGAGCGTGGAGCACAAGACGGAAAGCAGGCAGTTTCCTTTCCGTAGAACAATGAGTCTCGCAGGGCACAGAAAAGCTGCATTTCATAATTCTAGCATTTGGCAAGCAACTCTATGAAAGACGTGCAGAATACACCTTGGCAGTGCAATTCTCAGATCTTATGAAATTCCAGCTCAAAGCCCCCCTTCTTGATCCTTTCAAAGCTCACAATCTGTAGAATGAGCATTGCCATCAGAGGCTTTTTAACTGACACGGTATTCTACCGTAAGCGCGAAACTTAGCTTGGCAGGAGAATGTTCAAGGCTAGCCTGCAAAGTCTGCTTGTACTTCCGTCTTTTCAATCACAGTCGAGCCGTGGTAAGCAAAAGAAAATACTATTAGAGTTCTTTGCGAGTGCACTTCAGGTTTGACAACCATACAAAGAGCACTTAAGTAATCCCGCACTTGCGCCATATCCTCGTTAGTGCTCCATCGCACTTCATCAATGCATTAAGATCAGCAGCATGCAGGGCAGGAAGGATAACGAAAGACATCTGAAAAAGTTGATTTGTTGTTTTCACCACGTTCGACTGAGCACACCTTCAAACTCCAGCTTTAATAAGCCTGCACAGCAACGCATAGCAAACCCCATTCCTGGAAATCAATACTACCTGCTAGCTGCGCAGGACGAACTGCCTGGAAGTTGAAAAGTTTCAATCAATACATGCCTTTCCTCCGCATGAGCTTGGAAACATATGAGATGCACCTTGTTGGACTTTTCCATAAAGAGGAGCCAAAACCAAGAAGTCTTGCGCTCACTTTACTGTTGAAACTTAGGAGTTGAAATGTCACAAGTGCACATGCGCCAGCTTTTGCAACTTCTGGTGGGGAGCTACTGCATCACTATTAACGTGACACATCTCATCTCGTGCATCTTTTTGGTGTGGCACTTCGCGTGCAAGTAAAATGCAGAAAATTCAGGAGCGGCTGTGCATGCATATTTATAAGAGCGCGCGAGAGCTACCATTCAAATGTGCCACTAAAACAAAAACCAATGCGGATGAAGAATAACGCCTTTTCTATTCAAAGGTGGAAATGAAGAGGTCACACGTTAGCTGCTTGCTCGGCACACTGTTGGGCGAATCCTGCCAAAGAAATGGCTATCCTTCTTGTCATCAGAATGAGCCATAAAGAAGAATAGAAGAAGAGATAAAAATATATCACAACTTGAGAGACTTCTCAGACATTAGTACATCTGTTCTTTTTCTGGTCCCTGATCTTTCGTGTGTGCTATGAGGCCTGTATTTTTGAGAGATAAACGTTACGCCAGTAATTTCCAAGAAAAGGAAGCATATTGCAATCTAGGATGTCCGCAAGCTGTCAATTAATGAAGCTCGAGAGGAAGAAAAGTGTCAAAAATCGGCATTTTATTCCTGTTTGGCTTTTGAAGAAGTGCGTTGTTCAGCTGTACAAGGTGAAGTGCTCAGGATCGTGAACGCTCAGTTTGCGAACTCTACTTTGTTTGAGAGTTTTGAGCAGCACCTAAACAGACAGACGGGAGCTGGTGCAGTTCTGAGTAAAGTAATGCATGCAAGTAGAGTAGAGGACTGAAGATCCTCAGGTCCCCATATATTTATATTCTCCAGTTGTACATACATGATAAGCATCTGCGGAGTGATGGCTGCATGCAGAACGCGTTGTGGCTGCACTGCATGCAGCTGTTTTAGATTAATCGGCCCTCCTGCAGCTGCACATATTAGGAGTGTCTTGAGATGGCAGCAGCAGAACAGCAGGGGCTTCATGGAGTCGTTTCAGAGAAGCCCAAAGCGCATCTCCAGGGGCTCCCTGTCTTGTTCATTCTTCATGGAGTTCAGCAGCTGGTCATGGAAACCAAGTCCAAAAGCGCACTCTCTAGCTGTCACTTAAACACCAGCTTTCAAACTCTACGCAAACGCGAGAAGGGGTGGCGGGAAAACTGAAGTGCAAGTTCTGCACTTGTTGAACACAAACTCTTTTGCAAACCAGTTCTGAACATCATCTGAAGAGGGGCAGGGCTGAGAGGGCTTGAGTGGCCCGGAGGCAGCAAATGCAAAAACGAACTTCTTAGATGTGAAGACATCTTCGACAGGGCGTGTTTGACGGACACAACATTTCTTAGCAGGTCTTTCACTGAAGTCTGAAGTCCGTTAGGAAGCTGCTGTGCTGCAGTGCTGCTGCTGCTGCTGAGCTTAGCAGCAGCACTATATACAAAAGAAACGCCAAGAAAAACGCAAAGAGATGGACAGAAGTACCTGCATTTAATGCCATGTTTCCACGCCAAAAGCCCGCTTGTTTGCATGAATAAAGCAGTCCAAGTGCACTAACAACTCCACCACTCGCTGCACTTTATATATATACAAGTTTTCGACGAATCTAAGAAAAAGTTACTTCCTTTCTCTCAACAAAACGCCACAATGCGCGCTTTTGCGCACGACAACTTGTGCAAGAAAGGCCACAGATTGCCACATTACATTAGCACAGCAAGTCTTGCATAAATTTCTTTTTTAGCACAACAAGTCTTGCATAAATTTCTTTTTTAGCACAGCAAGTCTTGCATAAGTTTCTTTTTTAGCACAATATGTCTTGCATAACTTGCTTTTCTTGCGCCTTTTGCCGGAGTCTTTAGCTGGTTTTGTTGTTTGTTTATAAGACTTGCTTCTGCGCCTGCAGCGCTGCTTCTTGCACAGGGAGCAGTGAGGGCCCTAAACCCTAGACCCTAAACCCTAAACCCTTGGACAGCAGGTTGTTGGAAGCTAACAGTCTGTTAGTCTCCGAGTGTTATATGCAGAGGCTCCCTCAAAAAGACAAAACCCGCATTATGAAATGAACTCATTTTATTCTCCAACTCGGCATTAACATGCTTCCCGTATTCCGCAGACTCCGCACAAGCTTTTTATTTAATTCCAACAGAAACATTTAACTGAACAAACTCTTAAGCCGCGTTTGAAAACTGTTTCACTGCAGGCAAGGTGTACAGACACTCGCCATGCATGCGCTCCAAACACAAACAACAGTCCCGTCAGCAGCATGCACTGGTCTCCCCCCAAACCCCAAAACCCGCGTCTAAACCCTAAACCCTAGCCCCAAACCCTAAACCCTAAACCCGCGCAAGAGTTTTTCTGGTAAGTGCTGACAAGCACTTTTCAAAAAGAGGGTCGGTGATAAACACCGCCCACCACTGTCAACAAATAGTGGAATGCAGCCAGGGACGTGAAGGAGAAGCCCCAGTTTGTCTTCACTCCACAAACCCACAGTGGTCTTCACAACCCCACCAAATCACCACCTCTGGGAATGCATAATGTATGAGAGGCTCCCAGCCTGTTCCTTCTGGCTTGCAAGTCTGTGACAGGCAATGCATGCGCAGAAGCAAAAGAGGACGCAACGCAAGGCTGCAGCAGTAGCACACACAACACACACTGCTGCTGCTGCTGCTGCTGCTGCTGCTGCTGCTGCCGAGGGCTTTTAAGTTTCTCAAAGCACGCTGTGTGAAGCAGCAAACAGCGCGGGACCACCGCGTTGGTCTCGGCGAAGTGATGGCTACTACCAAGTAACCGGCAGCTGCTGCAGCTGCAACGGACGCGGAGAAGCAACTGCAAAGGCGGCTGCTGCAGCAGAGCAGCAGCAGCAGCAGCAGGGAAAAAACGGTTGTTGAAGCTGACCGGCAGCAGGAGGAACAGCAGAAACAGCTGCTGAAGCGGAGCAGCAGCAGCAGAACCAGCAAGTGCAACAGAGCAGCAGCAAGTAGCAGTAGCACAGGCAGCAGCAGACGCAGCAGCAGGTGTAGCAGCACAAACAGTAGAAACAGCAGTTGCAGCAGAGACAGTTGCAGCAGAAGCAGCAGCAGCAGAAGCAGCAGCAGCACGGCTGGAAGGCGGCTGCCAAAGTCGCCCTAGCAGCACACAGGCTGCTGCTGCCCGAAGCAGCGGCAGCGGCGGAAGCAGCAGCAGCAGCAGACAAAGCAGCAGCGGCAGCCGCTGCTGCTGCAGAGGCGGTGAATGACGCAGTAGCGCCGTCCAAACATTTTAACAGCGAACAGAAGTAGCAGCAGCAGCAGCAGCAGCAGTGGATGTTCTGTCGTCTATTTTTGCTTTTTCTCTACCCAAAGCGATTCTTTCTATTCCCATTTATTATTTTTTTCGAATTAAATCCCCTTTCATTATTTACTTTAGTTGTATTATTTATTTATTATTTATTTATTATTTATTTATTTATTTATTTATTCTTTTTCCTTTATTGCCTTTCATATTTGCTGCACCCAGCTGCAGCAAAAGGGCCCCTGTGGGCTGTGGGGTGTGCGTCCAGCAGAAAAGTCTATCTTCATGCGTTTTGAAATTTTAAAAATGAAATTTTAAAATTAAAAACAAAAATATGTTTTTGAACAGAGTCATTGAAGGTCTTTTAAAAAGTGGAAAAAGGGGACAAAAATAAGAATTTAAAAAGAGAAGTTCTTCATTCAAGTGAAATCGCCAAACCGGCGAGGGAATCCGGGTGTACGTACACCTGCTGGAATTGTAAGAGCTGCTGCACAGAGCCTCGCGGCTGGGGGGGAAAGTCTGCTGCAGTTTTACTAATTCTTTTTTGCTTTTTCAGTTAAATAAACGGGAAATGCGTGGATTAGACGCAAGAGCAGCAAAGCAGCAAAGAGCGTTTGTACAGAGCTGCAGCAGGGGAGGGCGCTGAGGTGTACAGGCAGATGTTGGAACCTTTAAAAGGGATTTATTTTGTTTTTCTTTTTAAAAGTGTTTATTTTAATTTTTAATTGCTGGAAGAGATAGATTTTGAGCTGCTTAGGGGCCTATTGCAGCCGACAGACCCCCCAGCCCCGTTGCTGCTTGCTTGCTGCGGGCGCGGCGTTGGGGTGTATAGACAGCTCGCTCACTGTTTTGCAGCCACTTTCCATGGGAAATAACTTTCATTTTTAATTCTTTTGAGAATTAAAAAGAACAGAAACGCGTTTGGAGCCCCAGAGACGCAGAAGACGGAAATGGTAAGCCGCTTCGGCTGCAGCCGGCTCAGCAGCGGCCCGCCGCGCCTTCCTTCGCCTTTATTTGGACCTTTTTGGATTTATTTCTCCAAATTTATTCCTTTTAAACTTCTAATTAAATAAATTAAGCGCTTTTTACTTCCCGATGGAGTGCAATTGAGTGCAGCAGCAGGTGTACATACACCAGAGCGCCGCGCCGCCCGCCCTCAGTCAGAAGTTCCTCTCCAGCTCTTTCATTTTTTTGAATTTTTCTCCGTTTTTCCAGCTTTTTTTTGCATTTTCCAAGTTTGAATTGCAATTTTTGAATTTAAATTGCAATTTGTGAATTCAAAATGGCATTTAAACTGCTTTTTGGCCTTCTTTTCCTCTCTAGGCGCTCCGCAGAGCCGCCCTTCGCCTCAGCGCCAGATTCTCTCTGCCGCCGCTCCCCTATAAGCCCGACGCCCTGGAGCCCTACATTAGCGCTAAGACAATTGAGCACCACTATGGTGAGTTTTAATTGAATTCTTTTACTTTTAATCCCATCGCAGCAGCAGCAGCAGCAAGAGCAGCAGCAGCAGCAGCAGCAGCAAGAGCAGCAGCAGCACCAGCAGCGGTTTTGGTGGCGGCAGCAGAAAAAAGAACGGCTCTGTTGCTGCAGCAGACGGGACCCCAGCAGCAAACAGCAGCTGCCACTGCAGCAGCAGCAGTTGCAGCTGCATCTGCATCTGCAGCAGCCTGCAGGAGTAGCTGCTGCTGCTGCTGCTGTTGGTGCTGCAGAGTCACTGAATACCGGTTCATCTGGCAGCATGGCCTTCGCGTAAAATCCATCCAGCCAGCAAATAGATAAATAAATAAGTAAATAAATAAATAGACTAATTAATTTAATTAAATTAATTATTTGCTGCTGCAGGGAAACACCACAAGGCTTATGTGGACAACTTGAACGCCTTAGTTAAGGACAGCAACAACCCGATACACCAGAAGCTGGAAACTATAATTAAAAATGAAAAGGGAAACATCTACAACCAGGTGCTGCTGCTGCTGCTGCTTTTGCTGCTGCTGCTGCTGCTGCATTTGCTGCTGCTGCTGCTGCTGCCTTTGCTGTTGCTGCTGCTGCTGCTGCTTCCACAGCCATAACTGGGACTTTGCCTTCATTCTCGCTGCCCCCGCTGCTGCTGCTGCTGCTGCTGCTGCTGCTGCTGCTGCAGGCTGCGCAGGTGTGGAACCACACGTTTTACTTCAACTGCCTGGGGCCCCCCAGCGAAGAAACTGCTGCGCCTTTGGGGCCCACTTTGAAGCGGCTGGAAAGAGATTTTGGAAGTTTGGAAAACTTCAAAAATGAATTCAAAAAAAAAGTTCTCGGACACTTCGGATCCGGTTAGCTTCTGCTGTTGCTGCTGCTGCTGCTGCTGCTGCCATGCTGCTGCGGTGCTGCTGTGTTGGTGGTGATGCTGCTGCTGCTGCAGCGGTGCCCGTCTTTCACTCCCGCAACTCTCACCGCCGCTGCTGCTGCTGCTGCTGCTGCTGCTGCTGCTGCTGCTGCTGCAGGGTGGGTGTGGCTGCTGTACAACACTGCGACGGACAAGCTGGAGCTGGCGGAGGGCCACGACGCAGCAGCACCTTTGACTTTTGCTGCTCGCAGCAGCCCGCTGCTTTGCTGCGATGTTTGGGAACATGCTTTTTATTTGGACACGCAGCAAAACAAAAGTCTTTATTTCGAAAACTTTTGGAAAGTCATTAACTGGCACTTCGTCAACGAACAGTTCGTCAACAACCTCCTCGAGACCTACTGACCAGCAGCAGCAGCAGCGCAGCAGCAGCAGCAGCAGCAGCAGCAGAGGCGGCGGCAGAGCTGCAGCAGCAGCAGCAGCAGCAGCGGAGAGGCGGTAGCAAGCACTACGTCCTCGGACTGCTCACCAGGAACTTTACTAGGTAGCTGCAGCAGCAGCAGCAGCAGCAGCAAGTGCTGCTGCAGCGCAGAAAGAGAAGCAGCAGCAGCAACCGCTGCTGCTGCCGTTTTACCGATGAAGAAACTCCGCAAACATCTCCCCTCCTTAGAATCTCACCGCAGCTGCTGCCGTTGTTGCTGCTGCAGTTGTTGCTGCTCCAGTTGCTGCTGCTGCTACTGAAGTTGCTGCTGCTGTTGCTGCTCGTCTTCATTGCTTTGTATCGGCTCAAGTTGCTTGGCAGGTGGCTGCTGGAAATAGGGTTCAGGGCTTAGGGTTTAGCAGCTGTAGGGTTTAGTGCAGCAGCAGCAGCAGCTGCTGCTGCTGCTGCCGGCAGCAGAAGAAAGCATTCGTAATTAAAAGATGCAGCAGTTTCCGTTTGCTTGGTTCAACACATTGAATAAATATTCTAAAGCGTGGCTGCTGCTGCAGCAGCAGCAACAACTGCACCAGCAGCAGCTGCTGCTGAAGTAAAACAGCAGCAGCAACAGCAGCAGCAGCTGCTGCTGTGCGCCGCAGGAAGTATCATCAAGAATATTTTGCGCACATCTCTGTGAGCTACTTTTAAAAGTTTCTACTGCAGCAGCAGCACTGCGAGCAGCTGCTGCAGCGGCTGCTAGAGCTGCAGCTGTGGCTGTTGCTGCTGCAGGTGCAGCAGCAGCAGCAGCAGCAGCAGCAGCAGCATTAAAAGGATCTAAATTATATTTGGGACTGCTGCATCTGCATGAGCTGCCGCTGCTTCATAGCGCTGACCTGTTCGATGGTGCCTGCGAACCTCTGCTGCTGCTGCATTTGTTGAATCTGCTGCTGCTGCTGCTGCTGCATCTGCTGCTGCTGCTGCTGCCGCTTGACCAGCTGCGCCCCCCCGCTGCTGCTGGGGGCCCCCCCCGCACCCTTGAGGGCCCCCACACCCGGCAGCGGGACCCCCCCAAGTGCAGCAGCAGCAGCTTCTGCTGTTGGATATAAACCATAGTGCTGCGCAAAAGCTTCTATTTCTGAAGGCCCCAAAGCTTCAATTTGCTGCAGCCCCACAATGTGGGTGGCCCCCAGCTGCACCTTGGGCACTTGCGACAGCGAGCGCACCGAAACCCGCCGCTGCTGCTGCTGCTGCTGCTGCTGCTGCTGCTGCTGCTGCTGCAGGTGCTGCTGCTGCTGCTGCTGCTGCTGCATGCGCATCTGCATTTGCTGCTGCATCTGGTGCTGCAGCTGCTGCTGCATCTGCTGCTGCATCTGCTGCTGCTGCTGCTGCATTTGCTGCTGCATCTGCTGCTGCAGCTGCTGCAGCTGCTTGTGCTGCTGCTGCTCCGCGGACTGGGTTGAGGCTCCCCCCAATGACCCGTCGAAGCCGGGCGTTGCTGCTGTTGCTGCTCCCTGCATGGCCTTGACTTGCTGCAGGAACTGCTGGTGCAGCTGCTGCTGGATCTGCTGCTGCATCTGCAGAACGTGCTGCTGCATCTGCTGCGCCACCTCTTCAGGGCTAAATCTGCTGTCAGCAA